TGAGAGGAACAGCTTGAGTCACTGTCTAGGGGACAGGCCCTGCTTTTAACTGTGTAGTAGGGTTGTTTTTGTTTTGCATTTTCATCTGGTCACCTCAGATAACTAAATCTCCCCAAGCACCTCTATTCAAAAGGATCACAGTACGTGTTTGTTCCAAGGAAGAGATTTATGGAAACTGGTGTGTTCCCCTTCACTACTGGAATTCAGTCCCATAAGAAACATCTACTGACCCAAATTTGGTCACTGTCACACTGGGATGTAAAATCCTCCTCTTTAAGACCAGAAGGGACCCACAGATTTTTCACCCAATGATTCCTGCTCCTGTTCAATTAACATGTGGTTGATCTATGGCTTATCTTTTAGAATAACATTCAAGGACTCCAAGTGAAGGAGGATATAGCACATTGTTTGGTAAAGCCTATATTCAGACTATTTACTAGCTGCAAACACTGAAATCTCATCCTTAAAGCCCTGTCTACAAATTCAGCTATGCAAAGAAACCAGGTGAAACACAAGTTCAGGATGCTATGTTGTAACATACATGATTCTGTCTTGAGGTGAAGATCCAATTGTTTTTAACTACATTCCTAGAACATGCTATAGCTCTGCCTTAATCAAAAATGTAGCATTGTTTAAGATCACAACACAGATACTCATCCAGATGATGAGACAGAATAGTCTTTCCCTCTCAGGGAAGCAGGCTTGACCACTAAGAAGTACATAAAGCATTTGCTCCTTATTTTCAAAAAGATTTTCATTTGTAGCAGTCGGACCAACCCACAGTGACCCTAGATACTAATTTAAGATGCACCTTGGGAGTTCTAGTGAGAATAATGACATTTTACAGTGCCTGTTTAATGAAGAAACCTAAATCCCTCTAAAGAGCAACCACAGTTATAATCCAAGTCCCCTACCTCTCCCAAGGTGAAAAGAAATGTGAATTCTAGGGCTGTGAATCTGATGCTTTTTACCAACTAACTGTAGGTTTACCCCAAAACTGGCCTTCTAAAAGGAGTGAACAGGAATGCTGAAACTCATTTCAGTTTACATGCCTGCCACAGAAATATGCCATTTACAATCAAGGATGAGAATATCTCTAACAGCCCCTCTTCATTCATTTGCAAAGGCAAGCAGGAATTACATATAAAAACACAACATAAAAATGGAAAATGGAGAAAATACATAATAATCAATATATATGGGACACTGTGAAAGAGAGAAAGTTGATAAAGGAAGCTAAGCACACCAATGAAAATCCTATGGCTGGCAAGCCTAAGACAAGAAGGAAAATTTTAAGTACATTACAAACAAAATCAATATTAGCTATCATATAGAGCTAGTACTTGATAGCAATGGTAAACAAGTTACTATTATTATTAAAATTCTGATCCTTCTGCTCTACAGTTGGAAAAAAGGAAGATAAGATACTCAGATAATCAGGGAATTATGTTATTTCCATTCCATTAGAAAGTGAAGAGAATTCTAAGTGTCTACTAGGAATATCACACCTGGATAATTGTCACTAAGGAGTCTTTAAAGAATTGGCTAAGGAAATCTGGAAAAACTGATGCTCCATTTTTAATTTATTTGATAATATTTTCCAGAGAGCATTCAAGAAAATTAAAAGAGCAATAATGTACTAATATACCAAAAAGGAAGAGCAGGATGGTCTAGATACTGCTATGACATCTACATGATTTCTCTCCTGGTCCCAGGTCCTCCTCCTTTCCTCTCAGGTAAGCCAGAGACTGGCAAATGCAGCTGAGAGAGGAACTGAGTTCACCTCTTCCCTCAGCACTGCTCTTAATCTCTCCTGAGATACAGAATTTGATCATAATCAGGGGCATACCATCAGGACTGCTTCAAGTGCCCTGCTCTGCCTAAACAGACCACTCAAGTAAAGAAGAATGGGCCAGGCTTACTTTGTCAATGGTAGACCACAGGGCCAGGAAGGAAGGCTGTGTAGATGTGCCCTATAAATTCATCAGTACTAGATAAAAGAAAGAAAACTAACAAAAAATTCACTTAGTAAAGACTTAAAGGCAGGAATATAATTAATACCAGTCAATACAGTTTTACAGAAAACAGGCCTGTCATCAAAGAAAACTGAGTTTAGTCTTTTATGAAATTATAAGTCTGGTTGATAAAGTGACTGTATAGATGGAACAGATTCAGACTTTTACATCCTGTTTGACATAGTACCACATGATTGACGGACTGACATTGCAATTTCACTAGAGGACATAATAAATGGACTAAGAAATGAACTGACAGATGTGAAAAAGCAGTTGTCAATGGGAAAGCATCACTGAATGGAGTGTTCCTAGTTGCGTCACAAAGAGATTAACTTTTTCAACAATGATCTGGAAGTTGGTATAAAAATCATTGCTGATGAAACTGTTGACAACACAGGGATTGGAAAAATGATAAATAACAGTGAACATAGGGCAGACAAATGGAACAAGCTGAGCCCATTCAAACAAATGCACTTCAATACAACCTAATGTGAAGTTACACATCTGGGAACAAGAAATGCAAGACACACCTGCAGAAGGGTGGACTTAATCTTGGGAAGTGGTAACCCTGAAAAGGCCTGAAAAATAATAGCGGACAAGCAGCTCCTCGCAAGCTCCCAATGTAGTGCCAGGAAAAAGAGAATAATAGGACAACTGGGCATATAAAGAGGTGTTAGTAAATGGGAATAAAGGGATAATTTCACTTTTGTATACGACAATAGTGAGGTTACTACTAGAATGCTATATACAGTTCTGCTATCTACTACTTCTAAATATGTAGAAAAGAATGGAGTGGGAACAGAAAGAGGCACATAAATGGTTGAAGGACTGGAAAAATATATTATAATGACAAACATGAAGAGTTCAAGCCTTTAGTTTGTCAAAAGAAAATGTGAGAGGTCCTTTGAGTCCAGTATATAAGTACCATCATGAAGAGATAATACCAGATACTAAAGGACTCCGGAACAAACTATCAAGGAAACCAGTGGATTCTCTGTGTCTTAATGCTTTCAGATCAAAACTGGACTACTTCATGTAAGATGAACTTTAACTAAACTCAAGTTACCAGGCTCAATATAGGGGTAACAGGATGCAGTATAATGACCAGATATACAAGTCAGATCTAATAATCATCTATGCCCTAAAGCTCACTGATTCGCTGAATGACAAAAGTTAAACAAATTCAGCGTGTCGAATGAATGATCTGTCCCCTGCCATCACATTCCTACTCTAGCAACCCTAGTGAGGTTTTTGTGTTGGGAAGGAAAATAACTGAAGCTGAAATCCCACAGTGTGCCACAGCAGCACAAAGCTTATTTTGAGGATTTAGCCTTGAGTGCCTGTGTCAGCCAGTTTAACAGACGAACAGCTTTAGACACAGCCTGAAGCACCTCATTGACCCAAACTCACCTGCCAGCCAAACAATACCTTCCCCTTGCCAAACTGCACCTTGCCTGTGGGATTCTCAGAGGAATGGTGAAGCCATGACTGTGCACCCCAGGGAATTAGGTGCACAAAAATTCAGTTATGTGCAGAAAAATTCAAAGTTATTCAAAATGAATTACATTTTTTTAAAACAAATTAAACTAAACATAACACCATTTGAACCTTGGTTAGAAATATATGCAGGTATACTTTGTATGGCTGAAGTGTGGGTATGGGGTGTGTATGTGGAGGGATCTGTGAAGATGTGGAGGGTATGGATGGGTATGTGGGGTCTGTGGGCAGGTGTGGGGTGTGGGGTTTGTGGAGGAGCCGTGGAGGGGTGTGGGGCATGTGGATGTGTGTGTGGGGTTTGTAGGCAGGTATGGGGTTGGGGGGGTTGTGAAGGGGTATATGTGTGAAGGGGGGTTGTAGGTAGGTATGCCCCCCCACCACACACATCCCTCCACTGTGGTGTACAACGCCTGCAGCTGGTGGCTCAGCAGCAGGCAGTGGGCCCTCAGGGTGCTCATGGTTGCAGCAGCAGAGCCCTTGACAACACACTCCTCTGGCTGAGTCCCAGGGCCTGCACATGCTGGCATGGAGTCAGCCTGGCCCATTGCTGTGCACCTTTGCACCAGACCAGGCTGGCTCTGTGCCAGCATGTCGGGCATGTGGCACTGCAGGAGGGAGCCACATGCCATCAGGCTGAGCAGGTTCCATGCCTCCATGTGCAGCTTCCTGCTGGAGTGCAGGAAGTCCCACATAGAGGCATATAGCTGGCTGGCCCAGCTCAATGGCGCATCAGTCGGGAGCTGCACACCACTGGGCTGGGCAGGCTCCACGCCTTCACGTGGACTTCCAGCATTCCAGCATGAAGCTGCAAATGGAGGCAAACATGAGCCTGCCTGACCCAATGGAGTGACTCTATGCCTCCATGTGTGGCTTCCCACCAGGCCAATGGTGCATGGCTCCTGGTCCACGCACCATTGGGTCAGGCCAGCCCTTCACATGGGGCTTCCAGCACAAAGCCACACATAGAAGCACTGAATCGCATGCCATTGGGCCAAGCAAGCTTCATGCCTCCACATGCAGCTTCCTGCTGGAGTACTGGAAACCCACATGGAGGAATAAAGCCCAATGGCATGTGGTCCATACCCACCCACAAACCGCACACCCACCCATACCCCCTACCCCAGGCCCACCCACAAATCCTATGCCCCCCCCACAGGCAGGAGCTCCCCTCCCCACTTACCAGCTCTCCAGGCACATGGCTCTGTGAATCCACATCATGGAGGTGGAGGCACAGAGTCTGCCACAGTTAAATTATGTAAAATTATGCAATTATGCACAGTCATGCTTTTATGTGCAAAATTGCATGGGCGCATAATTGCATAATTCCCCAGGGTGTAACTGTACCAAATGCGTTAGTGGGTTATGTTCTGGTTCCTCATTGGGTGACTGACTCACTGTCCCTCATAACCTAATATTCATAATGAATGCACAACGAATTTCTGATCTGTCTCTGCTCCAAAAAAAGGAAGTGGCCAGCAGCCGTCTTACCCTGCGGCCAGCCTCATTGTTCTGCAAGTTCATGAGCATGCGAGCCTGCTCCTCTGATCCCTTTGCATAGTTTTTCTCCCTCTCCTTGGCATCCACAAACTCCTTAGCGAAACGGTAGCCATACTCCACGTTATCGCCACAGCCACCCCACAGCCAGTCTCGAGGCAAGTCCTTAGGGCGCGCTGTCCGACTGCAGCCACAGCTGGACAACTCTCCTTCACGGCAAGCACGACTGATGGCATTCACCACCCCTGCAGCACTAACAGCATAAGTAAATGCAGTCTCTCGACTACCTAGGAGGGAGAGAAAATGAAAAAAATCAGCAAAAAACTAACCTCCTTTGACAAATACAACCACTCTCAGGGAGAGACTGAACAGCATGTACAGCAGTTGAAGACAGTGTGAGCTGAGGGGTTGAACCATGCATTGGATTATAGAGTATAAGGAACAATCCTGCCCTGGTTGACAGGCTGTGACAAGATGGGTAATTCAAACAGGAGATGCCCACAGCACAGGTTCACATTCCATTTTGCTCATATTTAGGGTGCCCAACCCCATGAATCCAACTATCCTTTCCCAATAGTCTTAGTACCAATAGCAATTCTGATTCCCTTGGCATACTTTAGCAGAGACTGGGGCCCCTACCTGAGGCCTGAAAGGAGTCAAGAAGTAAGTTCCTTAATAATTATACATGCAGCAACCCGCCCACCTCCCAAAAAAAAATGTGTAATCTCTTGCTTTAGGGAGGATGAGAAGCATGTGTGTGTAGGAGCTGCTGATCAAAGGTCATTATTATTTGTATAAGAATAGCACTTGCTCTGTTGAGAGCCCTGAAGACTGAGGTCCTCGGTCCATAAAACAGCTGCAGTGTGGACAGCAGTAGCCAAACCTTCATCCCACAACAAACCAACAATATGCTTCTAACCTGGAGGAAACACTCACAAAGGGAGAAGGCAGTCTGTTCTCTATGAAAATTCAACTGCTGGCCTATCTGGTGTGAATGAACTAGTGAAGAGAGCATGCAACTGGGTTTTGTCTACCCAAGAAATTTGCTCCCATTTAACTATAGGTGACTTTAAATGAGTTCAGCTAAACTGGTGCAAACCCTAAAAGGACACCACAATATCAGTTAAAACCCAGCTTATTTTTGTTTAAATAAAGTAAATGAGGAATTGCTTTAACCTTAACCAAAACAAGCTACTCTTACACCTAATATAACTATATTTATAGTACTCTACTAGTCCAAGGAATTCCATTTATTCATATAAGCTATAAAGATTCTTGTGTAGACAAAGCCCAAGTTAAACCGCTCCATAAATTCTCTCATGCAGCAGAGACTTTAGTGACAAACATATGAGCATTAAGGGGAGGGACTCAGTGCTTGCTTTGTCAGATGACCTACTTTCTATCTGAGTCGTATTGCCTGTCCAGCTGACATTACAGCCTGCTGGGGTATGGATGTCTCCATCTACACGTTGTATTGTCACCACTCGGTACACCAAAGTACTGAACTGACACTCTCCGAGCCATTACTTACATGCCAACAAACAGCCTTCAGATGCTAGACAATGATTATTACTGGTGCTTCATTTAAATGAGTATTTTAAACATGAAGAGTTACAAGAGCCAGCCCCAGTACCAAATTAACCCCTAATACTCTCAATCATATTGTAATGTCATCCAATCACTGATGGCTTTGTAACCTTGAAGTTAGACTACTCCACTGTGCTATATGTAGGGCTGGCCTTGAAGACCATCATACATTCATTGCAGCTGCTGCAGAATGTGGCAGCTCACCTTCTGATCAAAGTTGCCTTGACCACATAACTGTAGTGCTCCAGAGCTGCACTGGCTCCCAAGAGCTTCCTGGGTGCAATTCAAGGTGCTGTTCTTGATTTATAAGGCACTAAATGGTCTGGACCCTACATACCTAAGGGACAACCTTCTCCCTTATGCCCCATAGTGAACCCTAAGGCCAGCCAAGAGCAACCTCCTACAAGTACTGTCAGTGCACTAAGTCTGCTTGGCAAAAATGTGTGGGAGACAATTCTCAGCAGTCACTCCTCAGCTCTCTCTTCCCCCTTGATGTGCACCAGAGGTTTCAGAAAAACTGTAGGACCTACCTGTTTGAGCAGGTGTTTGATATCCTACTGTTTCGTAAGTTATCCGTTTTTATTGTAAGCTATCCTGAGCCTTTGTTTGGAAGGGTGTCACGTAAATTGAATAAATAAATAAATAATACCCTAGGTAGACTTCATAAGCAACAAAGGAGGTCAGTAAGCTCCCTCAATAGGACTGTGTCAGTGCTTTGGGTGTCCCCTTGTTCCAAAATGCATATACATTTTGCACCATTGTTATTATCAACTTATCACCAGTTTAGTGGTTAATGACCCAAGACAAAGGCAGGACTGTGAGGGGCACCAAACTAACAGAAAATTTTCAAGGCAAACTGCTCTAATTAAAGCCAAGTTGTACACTACAGAGTTCTTCCAATAAGGCTGACAAGCGTGGGGTTTGAAGAGGTGTGAACCTTAACCAATATCACTGTGGCAACGCATTTATAATGGCAAACCTGTTCTTTTACTGGTATGCCTTGCTTTGCTTGTGTCGGGGTGTCAAACTCATCAGGCCCTGCATACAGGATGATTGGCTTGGGGCCAGTCCACGTGCTGGATGATCCAGCATACACCTCACGCAACATTTGTGTCAACTCCAGGACCCACGAGCAGCACCAGGGGCTAGATGATGGGGCTCGGTGGGCTGGATCCAGCTCACAGGCTGTATCTGTGACACCCCTGGCTTGTAGGGAAAGGTTTAACTATAATGGTACAAACTACAGCTTTGCCAGAATAGCTGTGTCCACAGGAGGAGCTCTGGTGCCTCCTCTTTGAAGCTCTGCTGCCCTCCAATGGTCACTGCTTACTACAGAAAGTATGGAGAATCACCCACCATGGGGATCCTGGGATGGGACCAATCCAATGATTATGGGGAATAATTGGAAAATACTGGCTGTATACACGCCTTTCTAGTCTCAAATGGGAAACAAATTTAAGGGAATTAAACAAGAGGAGAGAGGAGACAGAACTGAACTCAGTGGGGAGAGTAAAGCAAAGGTAACTGGAGCTGATAAAATAGTGTCATTCTAAAGGAAATGACACTATTTCAAATTGTGTATAGAAAGTGTTTGCTTTATTTAAAGTTTCCAACTGAACAAAAAAATATGAGAACTGTTCTGATTTTTTTCTTATCAGTTCCTTCTACCTTCTTGTGTCACTCTTCCCCCCCACACCGTGCTGAAAAGGGAAGGGGAAAAGATAAAGCAAACCAAGACCTAGAATATTTTCATGAAACCTACCAACTCTAGAAATGATAGGGCTGAGTTGGTAATAGGGAACAGCCCAGCCAGGCAGGCAGAACTATGCTGGGGTGGGGACAGAATATGGTTTCCTCTCAGAATATACTCCCAGCAGCAAACTCCGATGCTACATTATCTGCTGCTTTATGCCTCCCCTGAAGAAATGCAGTTGAAAGGAATGTATGAGTTATCTATTGATAGCACAGGGAGCAATTTCTGAAGGGTAATTTCTGTCCCTCACTAACCAGAGACCAGGCTAGACCAAAACTTAAAAAAAATGCTCACAGACACACAGTCACTGGGAAGAATAAAAGACAAGCTTCAGTGCTTGAAATTCTTCCACAAAATCTGACTGCTTCACCACTGTAAAATACACAAAACTAAGGTAGACGCACTGAATGCAGACTAACCATAAATTATTACCCTTGATTTCTGACCTGCAGCCAAACCAAGCTGTCATAGGCAGTCAGATGAGAGTGAAGGGAAAGGGCAGTTTCACACCACCTGTATACTTGCCTGATTTTGGACTTGAGCAGACTGGTTCAGCTCCCTGCATAATTCAGTACAGCCCAGGGCTGGGATTTTTTATATCCCACTTGCAGCAGGCAGCCCAGAATTTTTATGAGCACTGTATTCTGCATATAACTTCCCCAATACTTATCTCTGCTTTCCCCTACACACACACTGGCATGCCCTTTTACCACTGGGGGTACCCCCCTACAAAAGAATACATTTGGTTTCTATCCCCTTCAAGCCACCAGAACATCAGAAAGAAACAAGGCTGCGTAGTCCTGACCTGGGCCCTAGAGGATGAAAGTGAGAGTACACAGCACAAAGCCAACTTTACAACCAACATGCCACTTCTGAGACCAAAATGGTTTCCTTTCTATTCCAAAATAAAACAAAAGCAAAATATTTTTACAGTTTATCTGAACTTCCAAAAGATTCCCAAATGAAAAACCAGACAGGACAAAACTACGTATGCCTCAGGAGAAAAAGACAACAGAAATCTCATCACAAAGAACTAGATCAGAGGTTCCCAATCTGTGGTATGGGTACCACCAGTGGTACTCAGACAACCTGTCAGCGGTATACATTAACAGATTTATTATAATTACTTTATATGACAAAAATTTGCTGGTGGTACTTAAGGTTGTATAGTTTTAAATTGGCGGTGTGCAATCTGTTAGAGTTTGGGAACTGCTGAACTAGATAATATTGGTCAACAAATTCATGACACCCTGAAGCTGACTTCGGCAACACATATCTAACTTCCTTCCCCAGTGTTTTCGATTTGGATGGGAATACGAACCCGAAATGGAAAACTACTTCCTACTTCCCACAGAACTAAGGCAAAGGGGCCAGGATCAAGTCACTTGCTTAGAAACTAACCTTTCAGTGGCAGCTAAACTTGATCTGAGCCAAAAGGCCAAGAAGTGACAAATCATGTCACCACCAACCATCACACCTTATCACCAGCAGGGGCCTAGATACATTCCCATGCCACTATATGTACTGGAGCCTTTGAAAGCAGAAACACCCATTACAGTTGCCAGCAAGAGCTATACCAGTCCCTGGCACCTAACTGCAGACCCACCACTTTTCCTCCCTCAACCCAAATTTGGACCTAATTCAAGTAACAGGATATATTCCAAGAGGGGAAGGACCTCCCATGCCCTCAACCCATCCTTTATTATCTAGTTCAGATCCCTCTTCCCAGTTTGCCTGTACACTGGATGCTCCCCTGCTCTTTCTGCCCTCGCTGCATTGTTGCAACATCATTGTCATGCCCTGGATCCAACTGAGGGAACAACAGAGGTGCAGGCAGGGCTGTGGGAAGGGGGGCTTTTCTCTCATCCTCCTCAAAGCCACCTGTCCCTCCAGGACTCACTCTCCTGAGGCACGGATTCCTCTCAGCTCTCCCAGTCCACGTGCAGCTCCCATGCCCGTCCTGTGGGGACCTTCCTCCCTCTGGGACTAGAAGAGCCCAGCAAGGTACGCACCCAGCTTTCTCTGAAGCCCCAAGAGAGTCCTGGCCAGGGAAGGAGCACCCCAACCAGGTGGGAAGGGGCAGTAATCTACTGCCACTCCATGTGCCGGCATGGGTGCCTGCTGGCCCATCCGGGCAAGGAGCCTTCTTGCTTTGCTTCAGGGATGTCTCCCTCAGGGCACCCTGCTCCTTCTGAGACTGGGCAAATGCAGCACCTCGCGTTTCCCTCTGCACCTAGTCTTGGGTCCCTGACTCCCAGGACTGGGGAAGCAAT